AAGGAGGAGGCCAAGCCCTCGTCATCCAACAGCATTCAAGATGGCAGCGGAGCCCCCATCGGCATGCTGAGCTCCCCTTGGCATGCTGAAGGGCCGCCCCGCCTGCTCGGACTCTGGTCGTCATCCTGTGCCAGGCTTGGTTGCTGAAGAGCTCGGTAGTTAGCCTTACATGGAAGGCAAGGCTGATGTACATGCCCCCATTTCCCCCAACGGCCCGGATCATCCTAGCTTGAGACGGCTTCTTGGCCATTGTGTTGTGCGGGCTTAGCCTGCTAGCTTAGCGCACTGGTTTTCACACAAAATCCCAAATCGGACCTTCAAAGTCCTTTCGTTGCAGACCTTTCGTTGGTTCTGCTGGCCTTAATGGTCCTGGTTCCCTCCGTTAGGAGATGGTTTGCGTCAAGCCTCGGCTGACAAGATAGGAGCCTCTTCGTCCTCGGCGGCAAGAGTTCTCCTTGGTCCGTCCCTCTGCGGGAAGTCTTCGTTGGTGATTGTGCCTCCTACGACCGGTGCACAGGTCAGTTTGCTACCTACGCAGATAGGATGCAGGCAGGAGCACAGATCTCTCAACGCTCACGCACGACACGGCCACCCGGTGCCAAATGGAGTCCATAAGGTCACACGCGGTTCCAGATACCGCAAAACTATCGTATATATGGCTTCCCCCGACCACCCGATGCATCGCACGTGGCATCCCGGCCACTTTCACCCGTCGCACGCGGCAGCCCGGCCGCCATCCATGTCGCAGAGCCTGTGGCTCATCATATCGCATCCCCTGTCGCACGCGGTGTCGCCCGTCCGTCGCACACGGCCAGAGGCCGCTTTTGCTCTGTGTCTCACGGCTCTGACCGTGCCGTCCGTATTCGGACCCGAATGTGTCTGCCCCGACCAGATCTCGCTTGTTTCCCGACCCCCCGACAGCCCTTGAGGCTTCCCGACATGAGATCTGGTCCTCCCGACATCACACTTGACCTCCCGTCATCGCATTTTGCCCAGATCTGGCCATCCTGACGTTTTCTATGGCCCTTGCGGCCAGATTTCGGCCACTGATGGCCTTCCCGACACACATCGCATATCCCCGATGGCCATTCTGGCCTTCTCAGCCGCCCGCTAACCCTCCCTTAAGGTCCGTCGCACCGTTCCCCCCTCATCCCTGATGGGTCCCGCTGGCTGGCTTCTCTTGGTTTCTGCGTGTATTGCTCATTGTATATGGCGAGGGATGAGAGATGCGTCCGACGGCCCGCGTATACCTTCGCTTCTCTTCCTGCCTGGTCTGTCTGTGTGCCTCAGATCTCGCTGTCTGCCCCGTTCGTCTGGCTCCCGTCTGCCCCGTTGATTCGGGCTTTCTGACACGCGAAGGTACGCGCGCGGAACACTGGTGCATCTGCCGTGAACACAAGGCTTCTGACGCCTCTCGATGAGGCACTCTCCGACTCATTTCTCTTTCTGCATTCTGTCATGCATCCAGACGCGGTAGTGTGATCCCTGCGGATCTCTCAGTCGAGGATTCATTGTTGTCGTCTGTTAGCACGTAACCAAGGCGCACCACACCCGCAGCCGACGCGCGCCTTGCCCTGAATCCCACCTGATGCGTTTCCCTGCTATCCTGGTCTTCCTTCCTTTCCTCCCAGGTTAGCGTGGCCGCGATGGACACCCAGCCCCCGACAGACGGCTCTCGTTTTCACAAACCCCGACGCCGGCCGGCCTCCAGCCTCCAGCCTCCAGCGGCCGGAGCGCCTGACGAGATGGCCGATGAGGCGGCCACCTCATCACGTACCTCATCAGCCCTCCCAGCAACCAACGCCCTCACCCGAGCACAACGACTTCCGCGCGACCTTTCCCGTCTTCCAGCGCTCACAAGACATTCCGACAGGCGACCGACTCCTTGAGCTGAGGGAGGACAATCGACTGGAGACCATGCAGCGGATCCTCGACCTTAAGGACCCCCACCAGCAGCTGCGGCAGCCCCTCACGGAGCAAGTCGACTACAGCGATCTCTGTGAGATCTACATGACCATCCACCCCGTCCCCTGGCCATCCCCTCTGCCAACACACGCCTGATCGTCGACTGGATGACCAGCGACGGCAGTGGGCGCCCACACGCCCGAGTGGGTCGACGAGCGCCGCATCCGGCGGCCGCGCATCGATGTCTAGTGGTCTGATGGGCGCCGCGCCCGGCACTGGTGTGCGGGGGCGCCTCCCGATACGACTGTCGACCCCCCTGACCCACCCTCATCACCCGCTCATCCCTCGTCCAGCCTGACGCTGGAGCATTCCATCAGCAGCGAGCTGCCTCACCCGCCATTGACAATGGATCCGATAGCCTCGCCCGTCCCGCCTAGCCTTAGCAGTCCCCCGATGGAGGGTGCCACGCCGTCACCCTCCCCGCCCCTCACACATCCGCATCCACACCCGCCCGCCTCCCTCTCGCAGCCTGCATCCACCATGCCTCACCCATAGCGTCAACTCATGGGTCCTCTGGGGGTCTGGGAGTGGGTGGTGTTGCTGATGTTGCTGCACGTGCCTCATCTGGCGGTGTGACCGACTTCGCCAACCCATTGCTGACCTCCACCAGCTCAAGGCCTATGTGTGCCAGCGAGAGGGGTGCAGAGACGTCTGTTTCGTGACCGCACAGCAGCTCGAGAATGGCGCCTCGGTTCTGTCCACTCTGCAGCCACAAGCGATTCAACACGAGGGGCTCAGCACTCACGTGGACCTCCCCCGACAGCAGTGGCTCTCCCCCGAGTCAGGGCCCGCCCAAGAACTGCGAAGTCGACTCGCCCGACAGGACTGAGCAAGACACACACACACCCAGAGTCTCTCTCGCCCCTCTCGAGAGACTGATAGCATTAATATGTGTTTCCATTCTGACATCTTCGCCCTTGTTGTCGATATCTCTCTCGCGTTTTAATCAATCTCTCTTGCATTGTGTGTCTGCGTGTGGATTGGCGGATTGCGCTGCGTGGTGCATGTTTTGGGAGAGACCTGACAAACACGACCCACCTGAATTTCGATTCTGACGCCTGAGTGTTCGATGACCCGTACATTGACCCGAACGAGAGGTCGCGGCGACGCTCGGGCTGCCCGACGCACCAGCTACCCACGTCCAAATCGTTCATCTGACATACGTTCCCACAGAGAGCCCGACCGCCCGCCTCTCGGCGAGCCCACCCGACCACCCCTCAAGCCACGCACCTGATGGTCATCCAACAGCTGGAAAGACAAAGGCAGAGAGAGCTTGCGATGGAACGAGCAACCCCTGAGACTGCCTCTGCACCCGCCGACCTTTCCAATGAAGGCGTTGGCCATCTGGCTGCCGTGGCCGAAGCACCCGTGACAACCCAACAAGCCCTTCGCGATCTGAACTCATTTCGCCCCGAGCCTGATCCACATACCTGCAGACCATCACCCGTCCCCCGAGACATCACTCTATCGCCCCTCCCCGAAGGCAAACTCACCGACAAGAAGTTGGCGCGCTTAACTGCACACGAAGCAGAGGAGAAAGCCGTGGCTTCAGTCCACTCTTCCTTCTTTGCTGACTCAGCAAACAATAGCTCTGTTGCTCCCTCTCACGACCCCCGACAGTATGCCCGCAATATCGCGGCACGTTCCGACCGACCACCAAAGGTACGCAACCCGCAAGAGGCCCGTCCTCCCAAGACCGACTCGGACGCTCTCACTTCCCTCCTACCCACCCGCCCTGACGCTTCTGCTGACCCCACGGGTCTTTCTCTGGGCGTGGGGGGGGGTCGCGATGGATGCGGCTGACACACCCGAAGAGAGAGAGAAGAAGGAGACACACAAATGAATCATGTCTCGCTTGCCCGTACCCGTTAACGTACATGAGGGGCTACCCGACGATCAGAAGAATGAGTTGGTTGATTTGCTGTTGACGTTCGAAGACGTCATGTCCAGACACGATGAGGACCTAGGCGAAGCTGTTGGTGTCAAACACGATATCGATGTGGGAGACACGCCCCCGATTCGCAAAAGAGCTTATCGAATTGCTTACAGCCAACGAGACTGGTTGAGACAGAAACTCGACGAGATGCTCAAAGCAAACATCATTTCGCCCTCCTCTTCCCCATGGCGAGCACCGATCATCCTCGTGCCTAAGAAGGGAGGAAATGGAACCCGTTTGGTTGTCGACTATCGTGCTCTTAACGCGGTCACCAAACCCGATCATTACCCGCTTCCCCGAATCGACGAGACGTTGAACGCACTGCAAGGGTGTGCGTACTTCAGCCACTGCGATTGCACTTCTGGATTCTGGCAGATAGGGCTGACGGAAAGAGCGAAGGAGTTGACGAGTTTTGTCACGCCCTTCGGCGCCTTCAAGTTCGAGAGGGCCGCCATGGGCCTGCAAGGAGCACCCGCAACTTATCAGCGATGCATGGACAATGTGTTACGTAATCTGAGCTGGGATGTGGCTTGTTGTTACATGGATGACCTCGTCATCATGGCTCCTACCTGGAAGGAGCATCTACATCGCTTGTCTCTTGTCTTAACCCGTCTACGCGAGAACAGCCTGAAGATCAAGCCAAAGAAGTGTTACTTTGGCTATCCCGAGATTGCGTTTCTGGGCCATCGCGTAGGCAAAGATGGCATCGCCACCGACCCCGAAAAGGTGTCTGCAATTCAAAACATGCAATATACATCAATGCAGACACAGAAAGACATCCGCTCTTTCCTGGGCATGACTGGCTATTATCACAAATACATCCCCGCCTATGCTCACATTGCTGCCCCGTTGACGGACCTGACCAAGAAGGACCTGAAGTATAGCTATGAAGAGCACTGGACAGAGCACTGCATACGCGCGTTTGAGACGTTGAAGGACTTGCTGTGCAAGGCCCCCATCCTGGCCTATCCCGACTTCAACCAGCCCTTCATCCTGAAGACTGACGCGAGCAACGTGGCCGTCGGTGCCGCCCTTGTCCAATGGGACCACGAGACACAACACGAAAGGCCGATCGCCTTTGCCAGCCGCAAGTTGAATGGGAACGAGCCCAGCTATGCATCACAAGAGCGCGAAGCTCTTGCCGTCGTGTGGGCCATCAAATATTTCCGTCCTTACTTGTACGGCCATCACTTCACGGTCATGACGGACCATCGTAGCCTCCAGTCTCTGCCCAAGGCCTATGAGAAAGGCAACTCGCGCATACATCGATGGTCTGTCCTGTCGCAACACCACTCTTATGACGTTGTATGGAAACCTGGAAGAGAGAACGGTGACGCTGACGCCCTCTCTCGTGTACAGGCTACTCACTGGTACCCGTTGCCCCGCTTGCATGCCGTAGTCACCCCGCAAGACATGGAACGAGCGCTTGTCTCGTCCCTTTCGTACGACACCCCTCTCCTGACTCTGCAAGCATTCCGAGACGCACAGAGACAGGACCCCCAGCTGAGTGCTTATGTCACTTACTTTCTGTCCACTGATGGCACCTTGCCCGACGACGCCCCCTTAGCTGAGGAAATTCGAGAGAACAAGGACAGGTTTGACTTGATCAATGGCGTGTTGATGCGCCTACCCGACCATAGCAAAAGACGGACCCGATCCCGCCGTCGCCTGAGATTGTTGTCCCACCCCCGCTTCGGCCACTTGTATTCGAGCATTGCCACGATTCACCTCTTGCTGGACACATGGGTGTCAAGAGAACGATGGATCGTGTCTCCCAGCGTTTTTGGTGGCCTACTTTGTATCGCGATGTGAACGCATGGGTGTCTTGTTGTAAAGTTTGTCAAGCGTTTCGACCTGTCCGCAAACAGAAATACCCGACAATGCCTCTACCCGTGTATGAGGACCCGTTTGACTCTCTGTCGGTCGACTTTGCTGGCCCTCTGCCCCGCACCCGTTCTGGCCACGAGTTCATCCTCATATTCGTCGAGCCGCTGACCGGTTGGGTCGAAGCGATCCCTACTAAGAAGGCTGATGGACCGACGGTCGCCAAAGCGTTTGTCGATCACATTCTCGTCCGTCATGGCTGTCCCCGTCGCCTCCTGTCTGATCGAGGAACACACTTTCTCAATGAACTCGTCGATGCTGTCTGTTCCATTCTTCGCACTCACCATATCTTCACCTCTTCGTATCACCCCGAGACAAACGGACAAGCGGAAAGCATGGTTGGCAATGTCAAAAGGCACTCGCCAAGTACGTTGCCCAGAACGAGAAGAACTGGGATGTACTTCTTCCCCTGGTCTTGTTCGGTTTGCGCACGTGCCGAAATGAGGCCACTGATATGTCTCCCTTCGAAGCACTGTATGGACGGGAGGCCCGAACTCTCCTGGACGCCATGGTAGCTTGGGAGCAACCCATTGTGGTTCACCGTGCCGACTACCGCCAGATACTCGTCTCGAAGCTACAGAGAGTTCAGGAGATGGCACTTTTGAATCGTCGAGCTGAGAAGGACAAAAGGAGACAGCGTGACAAACCCGTACCCGTGAAGCCCTACGAACCCGGTGATATGGTGTGGAAAGTGATTGGTGACCCGATGAAAAAGAGAGCTCCCTTTCAGCCCAAAGTCAAGGGACCGTTTAAGATCGTTTGCCAGACTCCCAACTCACCTTTCAACTACTGGATTCGCCCCGCAGGCCAAGGTGGCCACCGCAAGCAAGTGGTTCACGTGAAGCTCCTGCGTCCTTATCTCGACCTGCCCGAGCCATCCGATAGGGCTCCACTCTTCCATCACAACCCAGACGAGTCGTCCCGCAACGAACAGCCAGCGCTTGATGCAGCTGATGGCCTTGAGGCTGCGGTCTCCCCAGACACACCTGCAGCTGACACACGACGCTGCACCCGACAATTGCTCGCCCCCTCCTGTCCCCGCCCCTCTCGTGTCTCGCTCTAAGAGAAACTCGCCTCTCTCAGTGTCTGTCGTACCACACGAGACACCACAGTCTCTCGTCAACTCACCACCGTTCGTCACTGTCCCACCGGCTGACCCGCCACCGCTCGCCTCGCCCGACTCGGCTGGCCTTCCTGCCTCTCAGCTGGCCGACCCACCTCTCGCATCCCCTTTTCTGGCCAACGCGCCTGCTGTCGCCCAGTCCTCGCCCGCTCAGGGATCCCGTAGCGCGCCTGTCGATGACATCCCCGACAGCCTGATGGCTGACGATCAATCATACAGCACCCGTCAACGCGACAATTGGAAGCAGTTGATTGGGGATTGATTAGCCTCTGCCGTCTCCCGTCCTTCCGCCTCCAACAGTCCCAGAACGAGAGGTGGCAGTGGAATGTCATAGCCAATCCGCCCTCGACATCGAGGTTGCACCATCTCTGTCTGCCCTAGCGGACTCGCCTGCGCCGGAAGACGCTCAGCGCCGCCCGCCGACCGAACCCTCCTCTCCGCCTTCTCTCCCCTCGTCCAACTTGAACGACGATTCGATAGAAGGCGACATGACCGTGCCCGTCGATCAGCCCGACGTTGTCAACATTCTTGATAGAAGAAGAGATGGTCGTTGGGAATATTTCGTCGAGAGACAAAACCGTGCCCCTGCTTGGGAGCAGGAAAGCGACATCTCTGACTTCTCTGCTGTCCGCGCCTACGAGACACGGATGACGTTCGATGCCCCTGCCCAGCGCAGACAGAAGAGAAGAGAATGAGAGAGCCACCACCTTGCTGTCCCTCCCCGCTGATACGTCATCGTATTATCCTCGGAGCTATTCTGGCTTTCCGTGCTCACCAGCCAGTAGTGTGCCGCCAATAGGCGTGATAATGCGCCGCAAAACTGGCTGTGGATGTTGGTGTTGGCGGATTTGCCTGCATCCCGAGCAGCCATGATTATTGGGGTCACTCTTGCTTGACGCAGAGGATTTCCATCGATCATGGTGGATTTTGTCTTCACCCCTGGTATCGTCTTGCTTCATGACCTGGCCCCCGTCTGGCCTTCCTTGTGGGAACTCCCCGTGCCTCGTCTTCGAGCGGTGGGGTGGTGTTGCGCGGTGGACCGCGACGACTGGTTTCTCGACCTCCCTTGCTCCCCGCTAGTGATCGATCGTACGAGACACGGGTCGTTCTGCAGGCACACAAGCACCGAAAGGGAATCGTGTGATGGGGCCTGACTGTCTTTCCATTGGAATCCCCCGAAAGTACCCCGCAACGAGTGCTGCGCTTACCCCGCAACGAGTGCTGCGCTTACCCCCGAACGAGTGCTGCGCTTACCCCGATCTTCATCTACCTGTGATGTGTGGTCATCCCCGTTGCCCGTGTGTGACTGTAGTGTGCTGGCATGAAGTGATGCCGCAACCAAATAGCTTCCCCGTCCTCCTGCTCACCGATGCACCTTCCCCCATTGCATTGGTACCACCCAAGCATCCGTCTCCCGAGAACCAACCCGAGAATCGACCTGAAAGGGAGAACACACGTTGACTGCCACTTGACTGCCTCACCCTCAAGCCTTGAGGATCCCTATGGACGAGGAGAAGCAGGAAGCGAGTATGATGGTGAAGGAGGAGGCCAAGCCCTCGTCATCCAACAGCATTCAAGATGGCAGCGGAGCCCCCATCGGCATGCTGAGCTCCCCTTGGCATGCTGAAG